CTGTGAGTGAGAAACCAGTACTGTCGTGAATAGTGGTTCGAAGAGCAAATAAAGCCTGAAGTAAAACTTTATCCCAGTCCGAACCAGATTATAAACATAGGACTTGAAGAATTCTTTTTAAAGTTCTATGGATCCTCTCTACAGGATTGTTTTGTGGGTAGTAAACAGAACTTTGTACAACTTTAAGTCCGAATTTTTCTAAGAAATTCGATGTCAGCGCACTCGTAAAAGATGTGGCTTGATCGGTTTGGACCTCCTTTGGAAATTTCATTCGACAAAAAATTTGAAGGAAAACATCAACAATAGTGGTTGAACAAAGATTTGCAACAGGAACTGCATCCGGATATTTTGAAGACATACAGATTGCAGTTATAAGATACTTATTTCCTGAAGGTGTCATGGACAGAGGAACACAAGCATCAACATTATTTTTGAAAATATTTCTGTGATAACAGGAACAATTTTCAAAGGTGTTTTCTTTTTATCCTGCGGTTTTCCATATCTTTGACATTTGTCACACATTTTAACAAAATTCTCTACATCTTTGTAACAATTTGGTCAATAAAAATTTTTGAGTAATGCATCTTCAGTCTTTGTTGCACCAAGATGGACTGCAGTTTCTTCATGACAAATAGTCATCAACTGTTTCCGATATTTTTCAGGAACAACAATCACTAGTCTTTGTGTTCCATCACGATCTTCTTTTTTGAAAAAGAGCACTTGGTCTTTCAACATATACCTCTACTTTTAGAAGATTTTATGTTAGCTTCTTCATAAAATGGCTTCATTTCAAAGCTCTCCTTATGTTCTTGTATAAATATTTCTGGAGAGGCCTTCATCAGATCTAATTCTGAATGGTCATATTTTACAGGTGGCAAACTTTCATTTTCAGTCAGTGTGTCTTTGTTGTTAAGTTCAATTTCAGAATTTAACTCATCTGTTGAGGCCAGATTTTCCGTTTCTTTTAGTCATCACTGTTGAGCACGAGTTTGTATGGCATTTGTATCATTTGAATTTGAACTTCCTCATCTAGTTTTGCTTCCTCAAATAATGCAGCAGTTTTGTTACCTAGAAGATACCTTCCTTGATCTAATGAATCTCTTAAGACTGCAGCCTTTGTTATTATATGACCAAGATCACCTTCAAGCTCTACCTCAGCCAAAATTAAGCACACTGGATGTTCTTCCAGAGGTGTTCATATCCACACGGTCTCACCCATCATCCGCATATACGAGGCGTATTCGGAAACTAAGTACTGTTTTGAAAAAAAAAAAAAAAATAGTAAAACAATTTTTTCAAATCCAATTTTATTTTTACATGAAAATACATGTCTTAAACTATTTTTCAACATAGTTTCTGCCAATGATCAAACACTTGTCATAGCGGGTGACCAGTTTTTGTATACCAACGTCAAAGAAACTTTCCGCCAGTTTCGATAACCACGACTCCACAGCATTTTTCATGTCCTCGTCAGATCCAAAGGGCTTGCCACCAAGCTCGCACTTCATGTGCAGGAACAAGTGATAGTCGGACGGCGCCAAGTCCGGGCTATACGGCGGGTGATCGAACTGCTCCCAATGAAACTTTCGAATTAACGATTGAGTGAGACCAGCAATATGGGGCCGAGCATTGTCATGGAGCAACACAATTCCTTTACTGAGCATTCCTCTTTGTTTGTTTTGAATGGCACGCCTTAGTTTGGTTAAAGTCTCACAATATCGTGCCGCATTAATGGTTTCATCTCTGGGAAGAAATTCAGTAAGCAAAACGCCTTTCCTATCCCAGAAGACAGTGCACATGATTTTTTGTGATGACATTGTCACTTTGAACTTTTGTGTTTTCGGAGAATGAGTGTGTCTCCAATCCATTGATTGTTGTTTCGATTCTGGTGTGAAATGACACACCCAAGTTTCATCACCTGTCACAATTTGGTTTAAAAAGTTTTCTCCTTCATCACTGTACCACGTGAGAAATGTCAAGGCACTACCAAGTCGCTTTGTTTTGTGAACATCAGTAAGCATTTTTGGAACCCATCGGGAACACAGTTTGCGATAATTCAAGCGGTCAGACACAATTTCGAACAAAACAGTACGTGAAATTTGTGGAAATGCCTCTGAAAGAGTTGTCATTGTGAAGCGTCTGTTCTCGTGAATTGCTTCATCAACTTTCCTTACCAAATCATCGATGACAACAGAAGGCCGATCACTCCGAGCCTCGGCGTGAACATTTTTTCAACCTGCATTAAATATTCTTACTAACTTTCTCACCATTCAATTCACTTATTCACTTATCACGTATTCACCCTAAACTTCTGTCACTTGACAATAAATTTCGGCGGGTTTAACATTCCTCGCGTTCAAAAATTTAATCCCGGCATGAATCTCACAGTCAGCAGGAGAACTAATTTTCTTAAACATTTTGAATGTGCACAGCAAACTGAAAACACAACATAGAGCAACCAAAATGGCGACAATTGAAAGTCAGTGAACAAGAAAGACTAGTGCGCATGCACGGGATGCCTACCACAGCGCTGTGATGGCGCTAGATGAAACGGTACTTAGTTTCCGAATACGCTACGTATGTACATACTTTTGGCAAATTAAATCCAAAGTTGCGCCGGTATCTCTAAATATGGCATTTTATAGCCATTTATTTTACCTAGAGTGGTATATGGAGCCATAATATCCATAAAACTATTTTTGGAAAGTTCAATTGAGGGTACAGTTTCAGTGGATGCAACAGTTTCAAAATTCTTCTTGAGTTTATCACAATGAGGTTGTCTATGTTTCTCAAATTACCTTTCATTAATTTTATTAGTACATTATGTCCTAATTATAGGTTTAGGATTAAAATCCTTTGAGATTTCTTTAGGATTATGTCTATCATGATAACCATTTTGCATTTTGTTCACGTTTTGATGACTTTCTTGGAAATTTCAAACCTTGTTTTCTAGGATTTTCCCTCTTAAAGCTCTGTTCAATACTCTCATACTTGTCTAATTTTTTTGCTAGCTCATATGGAGTTTTTAATTTCATTCATTGGTCAAGAAAATGATTCTTTACTTCCATGGGAACCCTATACTTAATTTGGTCGGCAACTATTAAATCTTTCAGATTCTCAAATGCCTTAATTTCTAAATCCACAATTAACTCCAAAAATAACTAAAAAGTTCAAGAGCATAATTTCTCCAATATTTTTCAGTTTTTTTATGTCAATAAAAGCACTGTTTCAGCTTTTCGCTGTTAAGTTTATATCTTCTTAAGATTAGATTTTTCACATATTCATACTTAGTCGCATCTTCAGATGGTTCTCTGGCTAACATATTGCAGATTTCTGTGGGTAAAACACCCAAAAGATAAGCCACCCAATCTTTTTTAGGAATCTGAGCCAATTAAGCTCTTTTCTCAAAATTTATCAAATATAGTCCAATTTCTTCCTTTTTTTTTTTTTTTTTCATCAAACTTTGGAATAATTTGTGACAACTGGATTTTGTTGCTTGATTCTACTATATTCACTGTTGATTCTCTAGCTTGTATTACTTGATTTTTAATTTCAAGAAGCTTTATTTCCAATTCATATGTCCTTGCTTCTCGAACCAGATGTTCTTCTCTTGCTTCCTGAGCAAGGCATTCTTCTCTCGCTTCTTGAGCCAGGCATTCAGCAATTATTCGATTTAGAAATCATTTAACTTCTTCCTCATGGTAAAACTGACTTTCAGTGATTATTTTCTTTAATTTCTGGGACCTTACTAGTTAGCAGCACTTCCTTACCTAATTCTTCGGTTACTCCTATTAAATCTTGTTTTCTACTCTTGGCAAGAAATGGCATGTTTAGAAATAGAAAAACTCTTCGACAGTGTTTCAAAATTAATTTTAAAAGACTTTTAATCAATATTCAAAAATTCAAATCAACTTGCTCAATCTATCCTTTTTTTTTTATTAGAAATTCAAATATGACACAACATATTTTTTTTTCCTAAAACACTTAATGCAATAAAACGTATGTGCTTTCCAATAAACAAAAATCTGCGAAGCTTGCTTTTAATAAATTATACTAAAGTAAATAAAAAGAATTCAAGCCTCTAAGTTGGTTCACACAACAAAATTCTTGATTTGTGACTCTAATACAAGAGCTCAAATTTCATAATAGAAATATTCTAATATTAACGTAGTAAATTTGCCACTCTAACTAATACAAGAGGTCGAATTTCATAATAGAAATATTCCAATGTTAACGTAGTAAATTTGCCACTTTAATACAAAAGCTCAAATTTTATAATAGAAATATTCTAATATTTAGGTAATAAATTTGCCACTCTAACACAAGAGCTCAAATTTTATAATAAAAATATTCTAATATTAAAGTAATAAATTTGCCACTCTAACACAAGAGCACAAATTTTATAATAAAAATATTCTAATATTAACATAATAAATTTGCCACTCTAATACAAGAGCTCAAATTTTAAAAGAACATTAAATATTTTGATACTTTAATCCAAAAGCTTAAAACTTAGAATATTGTTCTATTAGTTGAATTCAATAATAAGTTCAGTATTCAATAATAAGTTTCAATAGTAAGTATTCAATAATAAGTATTTTTCATACAAAATGGCACAGTATTCATTAAAACTTATACTCACAAGTATTGTATTCTCTTTTGTTTTTAAACAAACACTGGTTTCACCTTCTATCCCAGCAACTACCACCAGATAGTTATTCTTTTATATGTTTGTAATGAAGTTTTAAAGAAATCTTACCACTTTTTGAATGAACAACCAACTTTATAAGTCAAAACTTACAGAATAACTGAAAAACTTTTTAAGCGTGTGTATTGTCTGCACGGATATTCTTTGTGTGTGGTTTCTTTACATTCTTAGTGGAATTATGTTGGTAGCGTAGCAATGCAAATACGTTACAATACATAAATTTATGGTAAAAAGAAAACAAATTGCAAAGTAATCAAAAGGTTTCATCTTTAAACATTACTCAAATAGTTACCTGCCCCATTGAATTCCACATTAAATAATGTTTTTCATTCACATAAAATACACTATTTGGACTCCATGGATCTTGGAATAAATGGTTCGACATATAAACCATGCGAGAATGGAGATAACCGTAATCTTCACTACCAAGGTCAACATATTTTACGCCTGTTAAAATAATGTATAATTTCATTAAACAGATAATTAAGTTGTTTACGAAAATAAATTTGTCAGTAGTACATAAAAATTTAAAAAGAATTATGGATCTTTTCCATTACAAGGAAACACACGCCAAACTATTTCTTACAGAAAGATGCATGTACCACCATTATCCACTCATCACTATTAAACTAATTAAGTTCTTATGTCTTACAATAGAAATAATTTTCAAGTAAATATCATCAATAAAATTCTCTTATAAATGCATCATTCTATTTCATTCTTTGTTTACTGAAATAGCTAATTTAAGAGAAATATTTCTTATATTTAGAAAAACTTTTTATCACAGTTGAAATGAAATGATCATAAAAGTGTAAATGAACTCATCATAAAAGTTTATCTTACTGGAAGTATCACATAGCCATATACTTCTATCTTTCCACAGAAAACTGGGGTTTCAGTTCTCAAAATTTTGAGTTTAGTTTCCAAGTTAGCTACGTCATCAGCATTATGCAAGCCATGTGGAATAGATTAATCTAGAAATGGCACAGTTCAGAAAAGTTATTACGATTTTTAAAATACAAAAAGGAAATACTCAAATTAAAAATGTGGAGTTAAGAGGCTATTATTAAATTAAATTATAAAGCTGATTTACATATTTTTTAATCTTGCATATTACCCCTTCAAAGAGAAAAAGGCTTGGCAACGGAAAAGCCTTTTTAGAAGAAGCATTAACGAAGCAAGGAAAATACAATTTTGGAAAACAAAATCTATAAAAATATTAATCTAAATAAATTTTTAAAATAACAAAAGATTTTAGATGCAATAAACAATAAATGCAAAGTGAAACTTCTATTGAAAGTTTGAAAGTCTGCAAGTTCATTTTTTTTGTAAAAACCAGGGCTGTGGAGTCAGTAGGGACTCCTGGAATTTTAAAGATTCTGACTCCATCATATCTCCATCTGTCTATATGTAGACATGTACAGCATATTTTTTTAATACAGTCAAAAGTCTTTAATCCAGACTCATCGGGACTTTGGCGATTCCAGATTATAGATCATCAGTTTAAATCTGGTAAGAAGGCATGCAGAAATTATAAAATTAAAAATATGAAACCGTAATTTATGAAATAGAGCAATTATGATATAAAGGGTATCAAAATTTACGAAAAAAGCTGAATTATTTGTTTGCTTTATTAAACATTTCTTTCAACGTGCGCATGCTTAAAGCATACATTACGCATAGTCGAAATTAGAATATTGCAACCAGAAAACTATTTGATGTGTATTCGTGATATTTATAATGAGGAATTTGATTTAAATCATAACAAAGACGGAGAGCATTGAGATAAAATACTACATTTAGTAAGGAATTAGAAGCCAAATAAAATAAAAACATCTGCCCTGAAGATAAGGATAGTGCTGACAGATCAATTTCCAGTTCACTGCGCGCCGCGACGTTTCCCCCCCCCCCAGCAAAGCAGCGTGAAATTGATAAACAGTTTTCGGAATGGTTAGAAAAACAAAGGATATGCCTTCATCCATTTTTTGCAGCAATTCCCCTTTTTGTTTGATGGACATCGAAACATGCTTTCACTTTGTAGATAGATTCTTTGGCAGCTCAGAATCAGAAATTCTATTTGACATAATCGAAAGTTCAAGCTTACTTTTATAAAATTGCTCTAACAGTCTGCAAAAAATAATAAGCCGGATCCAGTTCGAAGATTAAGGAACAACGCAAGCTACAATATTAACTGAAATAGAAAATTAGATAATTTTAGCTTAGCTTATACCGTCCGTTATACATTAAATGCGCATGCGTAAATGTATTATGCGCATGCGCACATGCATAAGGTATTAAGCGCATGCGTGAACGCATTATGCGTTGACGCATGCGCATAAAGTTTGTAGCTTTGAGGTCCGGATTATGGGTGTCCGGATTAACGACTTTTGACTGTATAAAAGAAGTAATAGAAGCTACAGGGAAAAAACACTCATACATAGCAAATTATTTATACCAATTAGCATTTATTACAAAATGAAAAACTGGCATTAGTAATTTCTAAGAAACAGTACAGTTTCGGCAATAACTTCTTTGATAAAGGACCTTAGATCGGATTTAATAAACTTCTAACGGATCGGATTTAATAATAGTCTTTCTACTGTAACTTGAGTAGGAGGAAGATCCGCTACTGTTAGGGCTACTTCTTTTAAATTTTCAGGGTATATTTTTTATAAGTTCTAAAAGAGGTGTCTTGCAAGAGCGATCACATTTCTGTCTTTCTTCAAGGGCTGTGTAAAAATCTTGCTTGTATTTTTTTATTTTTATATTTAAAGCCTCTTGGTTCTTTATTTTCATTCGCTTTGCCTTAGCCTTTTCAATATTATCCAAATATTTCTCAAAATCTACTTCATTAACGAATTCTCAAAATCTACTTCATTAACGAAAGAGGATGATAGAGACTCAGTTGCAATGTCTGAAGTCTGACTGTCCTGATTTGAATACTCCAATTGTTCTGAGCATAGAGTCAAAAATCTTTAATCCGGACTCATCGGGACTTCAGCGATTCCGGATTATCGGTTATTCCGGATTATAGATCATCAGTTTAAATCTGGTAAGATGGCATGCAGAAATTATAAAATGAAACCATAATTTATGAAATAAAGAGTACTTATGATCTAAAGGGTATCAAAATTTACAAAAAATAAAGCTTAATATTTATTTTGTTTACTTGATTAAACATTTCTTTCAACGTGTACATTCGTAAAGCATACGAATTCGTTGCAACCAGAAAACTATTTGATGTGTATTCGTGATATTTATAATGACGAGAAATTTGATTTAAATCATATCAAAGGCGGAGTACATCAAGATGAAATACTACATTTAGTAAGGAATTGTAAGCTGAATAAAATAAAAACATCTGCCCTGAAGATAAGGATAGTGCTGACAGATCAACTTCCAGTTCAACACCACGATGTCCCCCCCCCCCCGACAGAGCAGCATGAAATTGATAAACAGATTATGGAAGGTTAGAGAAACAAAGGATGTGCCTTTATCCATTTTTTGCAGCAATTCCACTTTTTGTTTAATGGACATCGAAATATGCTTTCGCTTTGTAGATCCTTTGGCAGCTTCAGAATCGAAAATTCTTTTTGATATAATAAGTTCAAGCTTACTTTTATAAAATTGCTCTAACAGTCTGCAAAAAATAATAAGCCAGATCCAATTAGAAGATTAAGGAACAACGCAATCTGCAACATTAACTGAAATAGATAGTTAGATAATTTTAGCTTAGCTTATACTGTCCGTTATACATTAAACGAGCATGCGTAAACATATTTTGTAGTTTGTAGCTTTGAGGTCCGGATTATGGACGTCCGGATTAAAGACTTTTGACTGTGATTTCATTCTTAGTAAAAGTTCGTAGATGGCTTTCTTTGCCTTTTTAGTTTGTTCGTCATTTAACAAAATTCAATGTTTTGGATGTACACTGCTCAAAAAAAAAAAATGGGACAGTCCTATATCTCCCGATCTACTGGGCCGATTGACAAAATTCAAATTGCGTTCTTCATGTCTCGAAAGTGCGACTTAGGATATATATTAGATTTATATATAGCACTATTCTAACATAGGTATTTTGACACAAAATCGGACTTTTTCTGAAATAACATACCAATTTTTTTTTATATATTTCGATTCTACGACTCAAATTACGCCTAAATATGAAATTTTGTAAATTTGGAGCGAAATTTACGGAGAAATTCACAAATTTATGTTGGCACTTTTTTTGTCAGTTTGCGCCAAGAATACTTTACTTGGCGAACTTCTTAATATATGGCAACCTAGTTTCCTTCCCGTGAGAGGAAAAAAAGTCATCATCGTTCCTTTTTTCCACATAATATTCTTTATATTATATTTTTTAATTATAACTTTTTTATTTAAGTAATTTTTTCTTTTTCGAATTTCATTTTAATTGTTTAAGTTACACGCTTTTTTTTTTTTTTTTCGAATAACTGTTTTAAAAATTTCTATTTACCTATTCGAACTGCGTAAATAAAGGTGCAGCGTTCATTTTTTGTTTTCAAATACATAGTTTTCTTTATATATATATTTTCATCATAGGTTATTATTTTAGGTAAATTTTAAAATGTTTATTCTTTTATTTTAATTGTTTGTATTGCATTGTCTCTTCAGATAATTGTTTTAAAATTTTCTATTTATTCCTTCGAACTGAGCACTTTAAATATATTTATTAATATCAATTTTCCAGAATTTGATTTTATTTATTTGAACTGCATTTCTTTCGGAAGAATACTTTGTAACCCAGACTACGATGAGTTTGAAAACTGCATACTGTATTAAAAGAGAAAATACAGTAAAGCACAGTTTTACATGCCTTTCAATGTCCGTTCAGAAAAGATATATATAAATAAGAAAGATGTATAACCGACATTTTAACTTAGGATGACTTGCATACACTGCTTTAAACAGTTTTATCATTGTGCCCATTGCTTTACACAATTTTATCCTACATTTGGTTTCTTAAAATGTTATTCATATTTTAGTCAAATATTTTATTTTTGTAATCGCATTTTTGCAATCAAATATCATAACATTGAAAAGTTTTAAATTAAAAAAAATACAAATACTTAATTTTTCGAAAAAATTTTTCTCTTTTTCTTTAAGCATTCATTTCTTTAAGCATGGAAATAATTTAAATATCTGACACTAAGTATTTGTAGTGTTTGCGGTATGAATTCGTTGATGACGTTTATAATATAATAGATAATTTAGAGGTAAACGTTTTTTGGATATTTTATTTATTTTATACGTGGAAATGTTCATATTTGGAAAGGGTATGTACTTTTTCGCGATCAGGTAATTTCATATATGTTTTTTTTACCGGGTTTAAAGATTCAGAAAATTGTCATGTATTTTCGTGAAATTTTTCTAATTTATGTGAAAAAAGCAATGTACATGGATATAGTGAAGAGTGTGCGCAATGCCATTTATGTGCAATTCTGGGATGTTTTTTAACGTAAAAATAAGTCGACGTGTACATGGTTTATGTGTATGTGTTATTCTGAAAAACGCGCAAGGAGTTTGCTATTGTGCACTTTTTCCCAATTTTGCAGTGAATATTTGTCATGATTAAGCAGTTTTGTTAGATAAAATTTCTAGCATAAGTGTAATTCGGCTAGTAGATTGTTGGAAAAAGTGTTAAGTAAATAAAAAGAAAATAAACATGTCTTTACTTCGTGAAGACAAAATGGCGGCAGAAAAAAAAAAAATAGAGGGTTGCTGTAGCAGAGTTGGTCGCCAAATTTTCGCCAAAAAATCGCCAAGTTACCATAATTTAAAGATCAACCATGTATTTATTTACATTTGCCAGCCATCTTAAAAAACGACGTTTTCAACAAAAAATTAATCCATTATTTTTAACGATATTTATTTTTTTAAAGTTTCTAATACTTTACTATATGCGTAAAATATCTAAAAACAGCATTTTTCAAGATGGCTGATGACTATAAGAACCGCGCCAACAATTGCACCAATGTAAATTGCCAAAAATCCGTGCAACCGTCTACCAAAGTAGCGCCTAATTTTTTTCTCTTGAAAATATAAGATAAAATATCATTAATTATACTTTGCTTTTCAGAATTTTTTTTTAATTATTATTATTATTATTATTCTTTTATGTTATTTATTGCTCATTTCACTGTTTTTAAGAAATTGAAAAGTTTTGAGTGATTTTTTTTAGGAAACAAAGTTTTTAACCTCCTTTATACCATTCGAGTTCTTCAGATTTCGCAAAGGGAAGTTGGTTAATTTATTTATTAGGATAATTAATATTTGTATTAAGGGATACTGTTTATTTCATTGTAATTTTGTCTTACGTAATAACTTTTTATTATGAAGATGTTCTGCAGAGTAAAATTCTATGCAGTTTTTAAATTTAACGTTTGGTGTTCCCTTCAGCCATTTTTCTGGTACATTTAAAAGCCAGACGAAGGCTGGCAGCGAAGCTGCTAGTATGTCATTAAAATAGAAAGTAACTATTTATTAATGTATAAAGTCCATAAATAAAACTAATAACTCAGTCTGTCATTATTTTTTTTAATTCACTTTAATTTCATTTCAAATTCAAACTGTCCAACAAAAACTGGAGTCAGAGTGCAATTTTTGTTGGACAGTTTGAAGTCAACGTGTTTCTAGCGACTTTAGCTCCAATTCCTTTAACTTAAAAATCTGCCTAACTCCGATTCAGACTCCCCAGCCTTGGCAAAAACACTGTATAGAAAGCCCTAATTTTTCAAGAAATAACTGTAAAAGTTCACAGTTCTGTAAAATCTTTGCTTGAATACCATAATCAAAATGGTCTGATCTAAACCCCCAATGTATTACCATAATCATGATATTTTACAATCCTTTGAAAGTCTTTCTTAAAAACTGTTGTTTTCAATATAAAACCAAAATTTAAAAAATATGTAAATCAGCTTTATAATTCAATTTAATAATAGCCTCTTAATTCCTCATTTTGGCTAATTTTTGGAATATGGTAACAGGTAGTTTGGCGACATTTTGATAAGGAGATAAAGGTTACTAGCTAGGACTTTAGTAGTGTATATGGATAAAGTCAAAAGTGTGCGCAATGCCATTTTTGTGCAATTCTGGGATGTTTTTTTAAGTGAAAATAGGTCGACGTGTACATGGATACCGTGTATGTGCAATTCTTAGGAACGCGGCAAGCAGTTTGCAATTCTGCACTTTCTCCCAATTTCGCACCTAATCTTCGTCATGATTAAGCACTTTTGTTCCATAAAAGTTCTAGCATATGCGTAATTTGGCTAGCAGATTTTTGGAAAAAAATGTTGAAAAAAAAAAAAACATGCTTTAACTTTGTGAAAACAAAATGGTGTCCAAACAAAAACTAGCAGGTTGCTGTAGCAAGGTTGGTCGTGAAATTTTCGCCAAAAAATCGCCAAGTTACCATAATCCAAAGATTAACCCTCATTTTTAATTTGGGTAATTCCTCTCTCTATTCTAAAAATTGTAATAACTTTTCTGGATTGTGTTACTTCCAGATCAATACATCTTGCATGCAGGGCCAGATTTACGTATAAGCTACAAAAGCTATAGCTTAGGGCCCCCTAAAAAATTAAAATACAGTATAAAATGTATTAAAATATATTATAACAAACTTATAAGGGGCCCCATATCTCAAATAGCTTAGGGCCTTATCAAGTCTAAATCTGGCTCTGCTTACATGGCATCTCGCTGATGATATAGCTAACTCAGAACCTGTTAAATTTCGAGAACTGAAACCTCTCTAATCTAAATCAAAACCTTCTCTTGGTGAGCCTCTATACTGAATCAATACACACTTTAGCTTCTACCTTTCTAGCTGTAATGAAGCCTTTTTGCTGTGCTCTCTTCTTATCGTCACAGTATTAAAAAATGTAAGTGTTCTCGAAATACACACAATTAGAATGTCAAGTGAATTGTGGCCCCAAGTGCATATTTAAATAAAATAGAATTTAATCTGCCTCGACTGCCAAGTCTCTTAGTTATTACACATTCAACATTTTAGCATTCTATGCAATCAGAATTCTTCCTCTTCAATATGGATCTATCCTCTCTACGCACTATGCAATCAACATTGCTACGTCTTTTTTCTATCTTTTTCATCACATGTATAAGTGCATAAACTAAATTTCTCGAATTTCTAAATAACATAAAATTAAGTTCAATATAAATGTAATGAACCTTTTCATGGTGGCCGCCTCTGAAAGTTACCAGCATTTCCCAGTACAGAAATATGTGCTGATATTATCTAGGATATCTGTTTTCTAACACAAACCAATAAACATGAATAAAACCAATGATTAAAATCAATAATTTCAATATTAAACTAATATTTTATACATTAAATAAACCAAGGCCTTTACTTTTCTAATATTTACTACAACAGCAAAATTTCTTGAAACAGTAGTTACCAAATTTATTAAATAAGAAAAACCTGACTATAAAAACCCCATTTAAATACAAAAAAGTAAAAATATGTGTGAATAGTTGATGACAGAACATATATAATTAGAATAAAAGGCCAGCTAGGTTTAATCCTAGTATTCGGTGCACACGGGATTTGGCTACTTTTGGCGACTTTTATGATGAGCAGTAAAAACGGGACATATATGATGAGTAGCAAACGGGTATTCAAAGAATATATATAGTTATACGTAGTATATACTATGTATATAGTGATAGTACATAGTGTATAGTATACTATCACTATATATACATAGATGTTCTTTTGGTAATTTTTGGATGTTGGCGATAATTTTCAAAATCGCGCCAAGGCTGCACCGTATACTAGGATTTTACCGGCAAGCTACTTAATTAAATCAAATATTTTACTAGTGTATAGGAAGGAATTAACTTTAATTATTACTACCTAATAACTACAAATATTACTTTAAATTTATTTATTTCTTTTATGGCTATCCTATTATTGTATTTCACAGTTACTTTAATTTACATAAATTTATTTACTGTGCAACACAACATGCTTGCTTTTATTCATGTAGGAGATGGATTTTTATTAATATACAGTTAGAAATTTGTATGTAAAATTAAGAATTTCGAATTTCTTGTCTAGTATTTAATTTTTTAGCATAATTATGGTGTTCAAGATACATTTCAGAAATACGGATAATACTGCAGTTGTTTATTGAAAATACAAAACTAAACTAAGAATCTGATTCATGATCTAACACATTATATCATTACCATCAAATACTTGCTGTTTTAAGACCGGTATTGGATCCAGTGACAACTTATAGCCTTCAAATTTAACATCTAGCATAGTTCTATTAACTTTCAAATCAACAACTGCCATACTCTCTCATAAAAATTTTAAAGTTTTAATACATATGCTCACGAATCGGTTACAAAAATAAGCTCTTTCTTATCATATCAAGTCTTTTTGCCTGTTGAGGAAAGGTGTACAGCCAACACCGACTCTACTGTTGGTCAGCAACGTCGACTACAGCCAAGGCCAACTAGATATCAAGGTTCTTTAATATACTAAGGTTAAGGCTCCTATATACCAGGCTGAATCATCAGGCATTCGCGATCCCAAGTGGGAGATTTAATGGCGGCTGTGTAGTTACGGTGCAACAATTTTTTGTGTTTTTTTGTGTAAAATGGGCGGATGTGCAGCTATTAATTGTTCAAATCATTCACGGAAAGGTCATACATTGGTAAAATTTCCTAAAAATGAAGAAAGGAGAAAAATATGGGTAAATAATTGCCGAAGAGACAATTGGAAACCTGGTCCAGGCGCTGAACTTTGCTTAGTAAGTATAATGTTAATTACGCCTTCATTTAGAGTTTTTATATCTTCTCCTGATGTTTATAATGTGCAAGTAAAGTGAAATTCTTGGTGTACAATAACCTAAGTATCTTGCTAATTTCTGTAATAATAGCTATAATTAAATTAGTCTAGGGTTAATGTACCCGTCGCCAAACATCGCCAATGTGGATGTTTTGAATGTGGGAAAAGAAATTTCTCTTCTAATTATAAAGCGCAGATTTGTTTTCCTGTGCTAATTGTGGAATTTTATACTAATGATATATGTAACATTATACTATAGTTGCAATATCGTTGGAATGATATATAATTTTTTTCCTTTATTTTATAATCACTATTGTTAAAAAGTTAGATGAGTTGTTTATGCACGGTGCCCAACTACCTGTTTCTTGGTTAAAATAACTTCCAGAATTTTGACATTGACATCTGAAATGTCAAGTAGAATAAATTGAATAGTATGAGACAAAATATATATATAATCTAATCAATAATTGCAAGTACCATATAGTTATAATCCAGTATTATACAATTTGGCAATGGAGTAAAGATTTAGAAATGAATGCAGAACTTTCAAATAAGCACAGAAAACTTGTGAAACTGCATGTGTATTTTTCAAAAATAATTGTAGTGTTTTTAATGCATGTGTAGTGTTTTTAATGCATGTGTAGTGTTTAATGCATGCATAACAATCAAATAAATCTGCCTGTAATGATGAATTTCAAAGGCCAAGCCAAAATCCTTTCATGAATTTGATACTTCTAAAGAATGTGATCTCGTCAAATTAAATCCTCATGACATTGATAAACAGTTATTACTGATCTGTGTTACAAAACAGATTTTTATACATGATAAATAATATTTTTCTGAAGCGTTATTTGTGTTGTCATCTCTAAATAAAAAATTGCCTACAAATTCAGAAAGCTACTGAACTACGTTCTAGAGTTTTTAATAACTTTAATTGGATATGTCTGTGCCGGTGTAATTTAAAAAATTGTGTTTAAACTGGCCTTGATGCTTTTTAAAATGCATGTTGGCACTGTGCTCCCGAAATTAGGGCTATGTTTTGAATGATTAGAGAATTGATAAAATTAAATATTTCAATTAGAGCTATAAACATTACTACAATTATAACAAGAATCAGAGTCTGCTCTAATTATAAATTGTATTTATTCGGCCTAGTATCTTAAAAGTTGGGTGAAGTGAACTCATATTTTCTAATCTATTGTAAGAGTACTATAGCAAGAAATATTAAATTTTTATACTATAGCAAGAAATTTATTCATGTTATAGCAGAAAACTGCTTTTTCATTTAATTTTTGGATAATGTTCTAAAGAACACTTTAAATTATAGGCAAAAAATAAATATTGGACAATTAAATTCTGTGCCCAAGCTTACGAGATGCTGCTGCTGATATGTCAGACATGGTTTGTTTATTGTTTCAGTTTTTTATAATACTGGGCCTAATTTTAATTACCTGCATATTTATTTATTGCCTATACTTACTTACAGTTCATGCTTGCTGCCTTTGGCACAACCTTACTGTGTGGTTTGTTTTTTGTACTTTTTATTTACTTTGTATACTTTTTTTTATTACTTTATGTATTTACAGGATCATTTTGGAGGAATCTCAATTTGAGTCACTATGCAAAGATAGAAAAAAACTAAGAAAAACTGCAGTACCAACACTCGTTAGCATTCCAAATCCACCACCATCTGTAACTGATGTCCGTGTGCATAAATTTTCCCATTGTGTTACTTCATTTTATCTAAATTTCAAGGATAATTCTTTTCATTTTTATATGGCATGTTATCAGTATAAAGGCTAGTGAAAATAAATTGGTATGTGTATCTGTTTTTGAAGTGTAATGCTTAAATAAAAAGATAGTGTGTGTGTTTCTTCATTTTAAACAAAATTTCAAGGATAAGTATTTTTCAGCGTTGTACTGTTTGTTATTTCTCAATGTAAAGGGTAACAAGGGGAAAAAAACTGGTATGTACATCTGTTTTTAAGCATGATAATTTTATTTATTTCTTTAGTGATGCATATATAGAGAGAGAAGGTATTTGGTCCAACTGAAGTTATAATAAATCTAATTTTTACTAGATCTCTTTCTCCCCTCAGGTGTAGAAAATTTTCAAATGCAGAAAGTTTATTTGCAGAATTAATTCATTTCTGATAAACTTATTATCATTAATTTTTTATATAACATGTTTTTAAGTTACATGTTTTTACTACTGTGTAATAAACTTGTATTTAGGGCAAAAAATTAACTATTTTGCAGCTGGTGACTAATATCATATGCTTCTAAGAATATTACTTTTAACTTTTTCATAATTTTGTATTTCAGGAACATGAAACTGTTATTTTGATATACTTAAATAATAAAAGTGTGTATCTGAATCAATTAATGGATACAAATATTTTACAGTTATTTTTTAGAAGATATTTGCTTCTAATAATTCATAAAGTATTTAAAATATAGGTAAATAATTTGGTGCAGAATTCAAATTTAGGGTTTGAAATATAGTGAATCATGAGACTAAATGATTTTTATTGTCATGATTTGCCTGGGCTTAAGAATGTACTTTTCGCCCGGTGGAAATTGTCATCAAACTGTCCTGAACAGGCTTTTTGTTGATAATAACTTCCAGGCTTATCAGTACCTCCTTTTGAGTGGAGGGTATACAAATATAGTACCCAATTTAAATTACATTGTGATTGTAATAATATTGTGGTATTAAATAAGTGATTATAATTACAATTTAGATAATTGCATTGTAATTATATTACATTGTATCTGTGAACTCTTAATTTCATTACTTTATGCAATTATGTAAGTGCATAATCTAATTGCAATAATATAATCTATTCACAATTACAAAATAATTATAAATGCAGTTACATCTTAAATAGAGGCCATTTTAATACTTTTAAATTTTTCGCAAGATAACTTCCCATTAAGGTTCATTTGGAGGAAACTATGCAAAAATACTAAAAAAGAAATTATGCTAAATTTACATATTTTGTACAGTAGTTTCTTGTTTATAATGCTGTTCAATATATCTTCAATACTTTTGTAAATTTAACGACATTCTTTGCAATCACTGTGGTGCTTTAAAAAGAAGTTTCTTAGTTATGCTTTCTAATAATTATTAAATTAAAAATTAAGTATTATGTATAATAACTAGCAATTAAAAAAACCTTGACTGCATGAAAATGCTGTTGCTGTTGTAAAATAAAAAAAAATAAGCTTTCTTTTATGCTTTGAAATGAATTACATGTGGTTAAGTCGTCCTTTTACAATTTAAGAATGTGGTTAACACACATTCTTAAATTGGACAGGTTTTATCTAAATTATTTAGTATAAAATATATAAACTATGAATTATTTTGTAACATAACTCAAATTACAAAATTCATTCTATATACGTTCAAATTTATTATCTTTATGGTAATAACTGTTTTTTAATTTAGGTAAAAATTGGATTTTTAGAAGTATTACAAATACAATGCAACACAAAGGTGATCTGATTGGAGGAGGAAGGACTTTTTATTACGGTTTCTAGTTCGTATTTATATTACATTTGGAGAAAAGCATCCAAAACTTAGAATGC